GTCATATATGATCGTCAAATATCACGTCCTCAAATATCGATAGTAATTCACCAGTCACCCTGTATATCTATGTGTGTGTCTGTGTGTGTAGGTTTGTGTGTGCTGTATATGTATACCCAACTCTTACAATAATTAAAAAGATCCCCATACTTTACTCTTCAATTAAAAATTTGATAAAGAACATCCAATCTAGCACAGAACAGATATTAATTACGAAAACCTACCAAACTGTTCCACAGTAATTTTTTTCCCATTGTAAATCCATTAGACGGGTAGGTACTAGTAGATGTATTTAATCCACCATGCTTAATCGTCAGCTTTTATGGCGTCCTTGATTTAGTCACGGCGAATATAACCAGTGGTCGAAATAAAATGAAAAAAACTAACAGGTAGACGCAAATATTTGTGAACAATTTGTAGAATTCACACTTAATAACAAGATGTTCCCAACGTCCGCTTGGTGTCGGCATCACAAAGAAGTCATTAGCCAATGAGGTGCTGCGATCAGTTCTGTAATGCGCCCGGCGTCGTTTGAGAAAATTATATCCAGAATGGGCATCTTTAGTGTTCGATATGTTTTAAGATACCTCCGTATGTAATACTATTTTATTAATAATAATAAAGTAATGTTATTTTAAGACTTTATTAATAAAAATAAAGTAATGTTATTTTAAGACTGTACCAATTTATTACTTATATGAAATGCAATATAACTCATATTTATTATATAAAATATATAGTTTAGTATATATTATTATGTATGTATGCTTTGTGTATACATACGTCACAAAGAGAAGAATTTTTTTTTAGGTACTTATTGATAACTCTGTAACTAGATGTTTGATTAATAACAAATGTATCGGAGTTTTAAAAGTCGTAGGTATGTTTCTCCAAACCTACTTTCTCCGTTCTTTTCATCACAGTATTTTAATATAACAAAAGTTTCAGAATATATTAGCATTAAAAATAAAAAACAAAGAATATCAGTATATAAATTACAGATAAAAAATTTGAAATTTTGTGTACCTACTCGTAATTGTTAAAGTATTTGTGGTAGAATATTTTCATTGAGATGGTAGAGCCTAGCTGTAGTCAAGTTACTACAGCTCGAACATAGGCTGGTTCTACGCCTAAAATACCACCCTCTCACAGAAGATCGGCGTGAAGTAGCCTTCAGTGGATGCATTTTATCCGATGAGTGAAAGAGCCGGTTGCCTTTTCCCTATTCCCACGCTTTCCTGCTACTTCCCTATTCCCACCCCTCCCTTTTCCTCAAAAATCAAGGTTGGCAACGCATCCGCAACATCTACATAATATATGTTGCGGATGTCCATGGGCGACGGTCACTACTGACCATCAAGTAGGCCGTCTGCTCGTTTGCCACCTTTGACATAAAAAAAGACTAAGTATCTCTATAATTTTGGTTCGATCATAATAATCAAAAATTATAACCAATTAAAATCTTTGTTTAATTAAAGCCTGTTACGTTCAACACCTGGAAAAATACCTATACCTATCAGTCCTGTAATCTATGGAGTACAAATACAATATTACATACTTATTACATAGAGACCTATACGAAGATGATGTCTAAAGAGAAAACCATTTTCAATAACTGCAACTAATATGGCCGTCTGTCATATATGTATTAATTGAAGAAATGTTTTAACCTTCAAAAAAAAACCTTTCTTTCACATCTCTTTTGCCCGTGAACACTGTTGCTGAAAAATAAACGATACTTCGAGAGTATATACATAGTTTTATATATAATAAAATACTCGTAGTATAATCCTAAAAATATTAGTTTCATTTTAAATGAATACTCGCGAAACCTTAGTACTCATAACCTTTCTTTTAATCAATACCACACCTAGCAAGTTTAAATAGATTGTAGTTTCAGAAACTATTCCTTCTGGTAACGTGTCTAGGACAAAATACTATCTATACAATCTACGTACTGTTAACACTTTCATAAATATACATACACATATTGCATGGAATTCATATTAGAAAGCAATGTATGATTGCTACAATGTTGCTGGCGTATTGTAAAAATTCTTAGTGCACCATAATAAGGGATTGTGTTAGTTGGGCTCTGTATTCTTTAATATCTCTAAATTACATGGCCGGGTAAGCGACGCAGCTTTGATATTGAATTTAATGTACCCATTTGCGCAGACGCGGACAATCTTCTCTGTCGCATAGACAGAATCGATTACTTTGTTTTTATATATATTCGAAAGTTACATAAAAATTTCGGATATATAAAAAATTAAGGAAAATTATTGACATATTTTTATTTAAAACTAAATATTGTATTGTAACTATGTATTGTTATTGTATGTATACTCTTATGACTTAGCTTTGTAGCCATATACGAGTGAGGAGTGCGAGATTTGACACGTTTATGTATTAGTTATGACGCAAAAAAGAGCAGAAATTTCATATTATTATTTAATATTCTACTTATGTTAATAATACTAGGGTATTAAATATATGGATGTGTGGATTTTTGTTAGACATTTATGCTAACCGACTGAAATGTACGTCATATAATTTATGTTATAAGTTGTAAGGAAATTGCTTGGTTTCTCCATAGCATCCGGGACCTTGGGCGTAGCTACTTGGAGCATTTTATAGTTATGTTACATAGGTTTATAATCAATTAATAATATTTTAAACTCCTCCCTATTACTTACTTGCTATGCATTTTGTAAACATTTCCATTGCTATAATAAAAATACATAAGCAACTGTTAGCGTGTAAATATGTATAGTAAATAGAATAATAGTAATTCTATAAATATAACATAAAGAAATATGAATGTAACGAACCGAATAACATAAATTAAACTAGCCAAAGCATCCAAAAGTAATACTATTGTTTGGGTACAGTATGTATAAGACACGCGCTATTAAAGCGGCACAAGTGCGCGCCCACTATTAGACACGCCTGATTTGCAAACAGCAGATGAAAAATTATTCTACTTTATTTTATTGACGAATTCAATGTAAAACTTTGTAACATACGTGTGATATATTTACAAAGTTTTTATTCTTTAAGTTGTATGACTGTAATATTAGGTTTTTTTTGAGGTAGGTAAATATGTCTTAAATGTACAAGGTTGATATTTTATTGTGCTATTATGTTGGGTATTATTTGGTAGTATTGGACGAAATTTATAAAAAAATGCCAACCAACCATTCAGAACCTGAGCTTCTATGTCATTAAAACTGTATAAATTCTTATCTGCATCCATTGCTTAAGTTGTGGGAAAACACATTAACCATTATCAGTACAGAACCTTAGTTAAGAAGCAATGTATAGTAAACGTTAATACAACTCAAATGAAAATCACCTCTACACTTTACAAACATTTCATTTTGATTAAATTATTATATTCATATTTTTCCGTTCGTCTTAAAAATAACACCAGTGTATGATATATATTTCTTATAATATTTATTTTGTAAGGATAATTTTATACAAAAAAAGTTTAAGGAAAAAAATTGTCTAAAATTAAGCTAAATCGGAGCTGATTCCTACCATCATTATGACACAATACTACTTATTTATTATAATTAATTAATTTGTATTAAATTTAATTTAATTTCCGTAAATTAATTTGCCTTATTAAAATAGTAACTTATTCTTTAAGGACGTAATGCATACTTTTCTAAACGTAGTTTTAATTTTTTTCAACTTATCTTTTAATTAATAGAACTTTATAAGTATATGACGTGAGATAGTACCTGGCACAAATGTAAGGGCATATCTAATAGGCTAAATGCCTACCTAACTAGGTTTCATAGGTTTCATAGTGATCTTAAATCACTTCACAAACGAGGCTCGCGGCTATGAAGTCGAGCTGACTGACAACATACCGCGTACTTATAGATAAATTCATAAAACCATAAATAAAATCTATACTAGGCGTTCATACCTTGTACGTAAAAAAATTAATTAGATTGATTTTTTTTTTATTGATAATAACTTATTTTAATTATTTTATTCGAAATTACATTCTTTTATTGCTACTGATTTTTGTATAGTGCTTGTAAATAAGTTTAATAGAAATACAGATTTATAAGTTATAATTGTCGAATAAATTGTAAGTAACAAAATTAAAAGGCAACTCTTTAAAGAAGGGCTTATTTTATATTTACGTATTTGTAGCTTAGAAGTCATGTTTAAAAGAATGTGTTAATTTCAAAATTCTATAAACTTAAACACCGATTTTAATACCTTAAGTGTTATCTTATATTCGATAAAATATTGTTTATGAAAAAATAATTGACTATAACTTAATAGGTACATAATTAAAAGTCCTCGAATATCATCAAAAATTTTAATTTAGAAAAACTGTTCTAAAATATTATACATAAGTTAATTAATTTTTAAAATTTTACTTCAGTGGTAAATTTTGCTTTCTACTTAACTTTCTTTTTTTTTTTAATTTTTTTTTGAAAACAATTTGTTATAGAATTATTGGTAATAGATATATGTTTTGTTTTATAATATACAAACTTTAGGTAACAGATTATTTATAATTATATACACATCAAACTCATAAGTATGGGAAGTGTCTTCAACATTGTTAACAGTTCAGTACAAAACGAGCTCTGTCTACATCTATTAATAATGATCACCAATCATTTCAGTTCTCCCATCAATAGGTACAAACTTTAATCATTGCAATTTCGAAACAAGCCGGAGTGTCGATGTCGAATAAATTTCGTATAATGTAAACGTGATAACAATTTAAATTCTTCTGTAACGGGTCCGGAGCCGACAAAAACAACAAACAAAGTGAGAGGCGAGCGATTGGCCTGTACTTGCAGGGCGGTGCGTACGGCGACTGACTCCGCCCGGCGACGAGAGGCTCCGAGAACGAACGCTCGCTTAGTCCTTATCACATATCTAGCAGTGAGAGACGTGCTGTCACTGGGAACGTAACGGAGGTGACACGCGACCTTTACGGATAGACGAGCTGACAAACGATGCCGCGGCCCACTCGCGAATCTTACGGAGATCAGAAACCGCCGTTTTCGTACATCGCGCTCACAGCCATGGCCATCTGGAGCTCGCCGGAGAGGATGCTGCCGTTATCAGAGATATACCGGTTCATTACTGACAGGTTCCCATACTACAGACGTAATACACAGAGGTGGCAGAATTCATTGCGACACAATCTGTCATTCAACGATTGCTTTGTAAAAGTTCCTCGGCGTCCAGATCGTCCTGGTAAGGGTGCATACTGGACTCTCCATCCACAAGCCTTCGACATGTTTGAGAATGGTTCACTATTGAGGCGTAGAAAACGATTCAAGCTTCACAAAGGTGAAAAAGACAGTTTGAATGCGGAATTGGCAGCCCTGGCAAGTTTTAACCGAGCATTTCTAGCCCGTCAGGCTGGGACCGCTTCTGGGAATATGTCATCCGGACTATATGGACCCAACGTGACTTTATGTCCGAGGCTTAGTCCGGAAACTCCAGAAGCGCCGGACACAGCAGCGTTATTACCCACCCTGCCTCGACCACGGCGGGCGTTTACTATAGACGCTTTACTCGAGCCAGAGCCGAGACGATCCTCTCCATCGCCCCCAATAGTTCAGCCCCATTGTCCAATGCCACTACCTCCAGCTCCATACCTGCTAGCCGCTCAACGCTACCACGCGGAACTACTGGCCAATTTACAACAGTCCTGCCTACCACCTCTATGGACTTGGAGAGACACCAGTCAATTTTCACACTACACTCTTAACTCATGAATGGTGAGTGAACGTTTTAAATTTAAACAAATTAATTGCATTTTAAACTATACCAAAAGATATGGTCAATAAACAAAGATCATCATTTAATGTAGAAAAAATACCAAAAATATTTTTGTGTATTACTTTGTCACAATGGATATGATTTAAAAGTTAAAAATATTTGTATATTAAGTAGTTTAAATCTAAAAGTATATTTGTCCGAGTACCTTTACATAAGTCCTTATAAGTTTCCACAGATCTTAAAATAAAAGATAAGATGAAATCAGAATAACTCAAGACAAAAATGTTTGAGGTGACAAATAATTACTTATTAAGTAGAGTACTAAATATATTAAGAATTCGGGGGACATTTCATTCTTGGTAACTAACGTTTATCCAACTATATACACTTAAATATTTTTTTATTTTATTTCCAAATAAATGATTTTTTAAACATTAAAAGTATGTATTATACTTAGCAATAAAAAAAATAACTACATTTATAATAGACCCACCCACAAAATGTTTGTGTCAAAAATTTTGGACTTTACATAATATATGGCTTTGTATAACAATATGTATTATTAAAAAGCATACAAAACGTTATTATATATCTCATGTATATGAGAAACAAGGCGTCTTGTCTTACTGCATTCATTTCGTGATACCTTAATTGTTAATTTGAAATCATTGTGCTTTCAAATGTCGATTATTAATCTGACTGCACCAGTCAATCAAATCAAATATTTAATTAAAATGGACCAAATCGACTTACTATCAAAATTTGCTGTTTAAATATCAACGCGTAAAGCATGAAAATATTATGAATGATCAAAATTTCGCCACGGATATAAATTATGCAAGTAATGATTAACTTACTTAAAGCCGTATACAAGTGTAATCTACTCGACTTTGGTACAGAACATACAAATTAAACCTTCTAGCAGTATAATCTTAAATACATTTTATTATAAAAACTCCATATCTATCCCAAATACTTCAGTATTTAGGTAAAAGGATGCAAACGTCTCATTAATAATGTTCATTTAGTAGACCTTAAAGAAACAATGTTCATGAAATAATATATAGGAATCCAGTGGGCATATGAAATGGTACATAGTAAAACAAGTACAACAGATACTTTACCTATATGTACTTAAACAGCATTCTGTAGGTAGGTATGTGTAATAAAATTGACACCTCTACCTCAAGTTTTTGATTATTTGTAGCTATCGGTTAAAGAAACCTATTTTATATCAACACATAAATCTATGAGAATACAAAAGACTAAATAATACCTATATAAAATGTAAAAAATATCAATAAATCACATTAAGTCAAATTATACGAGAAATCTATTGATTAATAATGTTTTCATCAAAAATGGAGAAATTTCTTTTTTTAATTACATTATTTTAATAAATATTTTTTTTTATTCAAAAAATATAAATTTTTATAACAACATTATTCATAATCAATTAATTTATATATATCATTATATATTATAAAATAATTTTAACGTAATTATTCATTAATAACGTCCACTTTATTCAAATTAACTATGTATAATAAGTTGAGATTTTCTAGTTAATATGACATCAATTAACCTTTTTATTGAAGTAAAAAGTATCACGCAAACGATGTGTCTATTAAATATGTAATGATTTACATGCGGATTTATTTTAACAAGTCTTAAGCATGCAGAAAATTAAAAAAACTAATATCCTTTTACTTAGATATTAAGTATCATTAATATGTAGTTGATTTCGAAGAAACCAGCAAATATTTGACGTAAAATTTAATTACATAGAATAGGACGTGGTTTGTCTTGTTTTTTTTTTTATTTAAATTTTTTTGCCTGAAGCACACGACAATGCGTCAAAAAAGTTTTATTATATTCTTTTATATTGAATAAATGCCATACAATAGTTATCTATAATAGACAGAAAATCAATGAATAATTCTCAATGTAAACTAAAGTTTTTTATTATAAATAGTTAATACTATTTTACGTTGTTTCAGGTATGCTTGCTGATTGTACAATGGAATAGTTGTAAGGGACTATAAGGTTTTGAATAAAGCCTCAGTTTAAATGTGTTAGTGAATTAGTATATGTTTGTAGCGATCGGATTATGAATAGTTAAGAGGAATCATTGAACCCGGGAGAATCAACTGCGGTGATATTTATAAGGTAAGATATTAACGAAAATTTAACAAAAAGTATATTTTTTAGTATCCATGAAGTCTGCAGTAGAATAATTTGGACTAAAATCAAAATTAAATTCCATAGAAAAATCGTATGTTCATAATATCGTTGAATAAGAACAGATTTGTCATATATATCTTGGTTATGTAAATAACACATGTTTGTATGAAATAAACCATCCATACTAAAACTTACGACATCAAATTTTAAAGTTCATTTCAATACTAATATATAACTTTTATAATAGCAAAATACGAAAGGTCGTATCTCTTGAATAACATAAATAGCAAGTAAAATATTTGCGTCTTCAAATATTACGACACCAATCAGTATATGCAATTTGCTTCATGATAAATTGTAATTCTAATATTTAATCAAAATAGTTGACGTACATTACTGAATATAATTTGACAAGTGACTAAAGTCAATCTTTTTTACAGGTATCGAACTCACCGAGAAATATAAAGAAAAAAAAATTCCTAATAGTAATATAGATAATATATAAAAATATTTATAATATTAATTTTATGAATCTGTGATATTTAAATAAAGTCATCTGTAAATATGTACAGCTTAATAGATTTTCTTTTAATTTATTTTATTTTTTTTAATAATAAATACATTACAATTACGTTGATTTTAAGACAGTTTTATTTAAATTATATTCAACACATAATCTTTTGCTTGCATAATTTTTTTTAAATGGTACCCTAATAATGATATCTAAGACTTTCGCGGGTTTTATTCATTTAAATGAAACTATTATTTTTCGGATACGCTACGCGTCCTTTATTCTTGCAAAAAACTACAGAGAGAGAAGGGAGTATGTAGTTTTTTAAAAAAATAAAGCACGCGTAGTATATCCGATAATATTAATTTCATTTTAAATTAATGATACCATACTTCAAATATTTAAATTTTATATTCGTTCCGAATGTATGCACGTAAATACAAAGAAAATATATAAATACAAAGTTTTCTTTATAACTTTATTATATTGTCATGAGATTTTGCAATATTATTTAAATCAGATGGATATAGTTTCTTTGTTTTGTAGGATTTTTTTTAACACCTTCATCTGAAAATGTCACTCCATACTTTTTTGACATACAATAAATTATTTTACCAAATTAACGGTATACATTTTATTTATAAGAAATTCACTGCGAGCTGATATTGTATCATATCAATCAAATTAATGTTTTTTCAATTCTCCTCAAATATATTTATTTTAAAAACTGTATCAAAAGTTTTGAAGGATGAAACCTTTTTTTTGTAACCTTTTTAGTATATATAATGTCTTGTTCTACAGTTCGAAATACAGTGTCAGCTTTGATTTTCAATATTCAGGGTTACTTCCAGTATTGTCTAACTAAAATACTGTAGTATGGCCACTATTTAAAGTTTTCAAATACAGGTTGATACTTAAATGTTGCCATTACAAAATAAGAATGGATCAGTATTAAAATTAATTATAATCAGTCATAAAAATAATTCTATGGATTATAGTATATTATAATTAGTACAGCACAGAGGGCGCCACTTGTAACACTAGTTATTTTACGTTTACTTAATTTATAAAAATCTTATAAAAGAAATGAAAAGAATGAATAAACTGCATTTAGAAGCAAAAGCAGGAAGAATTATTTGAGTTAAACAATATAATATATATGTATAAAGTCTTTATACATTAAAAAAAAATATATCAAAAAACAAATGTAACTAAAAATAGTTTTTATTAAATTTTTTAATCTTGCAAATATCTTAGTGTTCATTTACCTCGTTTCTGTAAACTTAAATCATTTAAAAAACATATTTTTTTTTAAAAAATCTAAACCTAACATTACTTACAGGAAGCTTCTAATTAATAGCTATTTTTAAAGTCTTAAATTTAAAATTTAATTCTTATCAAGTAACTTTACTTGCAAAATGTATCTTATTGCTTCTTAGAATTTTGTAATTTTTAATTGTTTTATAGCTTATAAAGATAGGGCTGAAACTTAAAACAAAGAAATAATAATTTGTTTACTATAAATATAAACCTTCATACATATCGTTTTCACAAATAAATTTTTGTTACTATACAATATACATGATTCTCAACTAGGTACATAAATAGATAGTCAATAGGTACTACTTATCAAGATCTTTATAAACTTGTTAAAGACGTAAATAATAATTGGTTTCTTGAGTTTTCAAACTTCAAAAGGTCTCAAAATAAAAATAAGTTTGTATTGAATCAACGATTCAAATAGAATCGCTCTTTTGATATTTTTTGATAGAACCATACAATAATAAAAAAAAAAATACGTATTTCATCGACTTTCTTTCGTTTCCAACAAATTCAGCTTTACAGCTTCTAACCAAGATATTAAGTTGAGAACATTGTACTAAGATGTAAGACTTTCGCGAGTATTCATTTAAATAAAACTAATATTTTCGTATTTACTACGGGTCTTTGTTAATTTTTGACAGGCATAAGATATAATTTTTGATCTGCCCGTGATCATTGTTGCTTCAAAGTAAAACAAACGTCGGGTGTATGTAGTTAAAATAATTAAAAACGCCTAGTATTCCAAAAATATTAGTTTTATTTAAGAAAATTGGAAATAAATAAATGAGTTTTAAAACATAGAAGCTGCTTCGGAGTTGGTTTGATCTTTCGTCTTTCATCTGTTATTATTTAGGGGGAATATTAAAAACACCTAAGAGACATTTTCAGTTACTTTATTTGTAACTTAATATACCTACATATAGTAAATAAGAGACGATTATATTGACAATTATTAAAAAATAAAACTTAGTGTTGACAGAAAATTCAAAGATAAACAACAGAATAAAAAAATTTACACGAGCAGGGTTCGAACCTGTAATAGAAACACTGTCAAAATATAAATTATACAATGTAATTAGCAAAATGTTACATACATACATAGGTACATAACTAGGTAAATGTTACTTGAAACATTGATAGGTTCAATAAAAACAGTTTGATAATAACATGAGAGTAATAAAACAATATAATCAATTACATCTTGATGGATCAACCAAAAAACATTAATAATATATATTATGTACAGACATAGCCAGTAACAAAGACCTCTCCGACATCGGCGGACCGTCCGTCAAATGGCAACATATTTACTGGCACGTGGAAAAATTTAAATAATTAACATTTCAAAATACTAATGGGACATTACGAGCACATCACACACATGATGTGTAACTGTAAACTTTAATGCTCAGCCTCATAAAGGACGGGCGGCGTCTCAAAGATATGTCAAGGCACGTAGCATAATGCAAACAACGGCGTCTGTGTCGGCGCTAGTGTTCTGTCACAACAAAATGGAAGGCATATGGAAGGTATACGTCGAGATCCGGCGCCGAGACTAATCAGCCACAATGTTACCAAGCGGTTCAAAGCAGTGGCGACAATAGCCTTTGTGTGCGGGCGGTCTTCTTACAACGTGAAAGTGGACGCTATATAACCATTTTTCTACTATTCCACTTATATATAACACTTATAATATACATAAAAAGACTGTCGAATATACGAGTCAATGACCTTATTAATGAAACAATAGACGAATACTTATCAATCATTCAAATTTGTTTTTTTGCGTATACCTTAAGAGCTTCTTGATGTTACGCCATACAACTGTCTTCATATTAAACTTCAATTAAATTATAAATAGTAAGCTGTAATTGCGTTACATGCATTAGAACATCGTCTGTATAGAGGTGTTTCAATTATAAAAGTATATCAATGTTTAAGTCAGTCGTTACAATCACTAGACAGAATCAAACGCGGGTCGTAACACGAGTAGTATCGGCAACATCTAAGCGATTCGTGATGCATTTGCAACTTGAGCTTCAAATTCTATTATTTCATTAGTGTTGTTTTATTGTAACAATATTTGATGGGAATAAAATAAAGCGGTAGAACCATAAACATTCCACATTAATATGCGACCTCTGACGGTCGAATGCGTGATCCCTTTTCTTCGCGCGCTTTATTTCGTGATCTCTTTTCCTCGCGCGCTTTATTCCGTGATCCCTTTTCCTCGCGCGTGCTTTGTCTCGTGATCCCTCTTCCTCTTGTACATCGCACTCTCCTGGCCGCGCCGCGCCGGCTCGTCTGCGATGTCTGCGTCTGTTTAACATTTTTTAAAGGATCCAAGTATGGGAGTGTCTTTTTGGAATTTCGCTTGAGTTAATCACATCAGTATTTTAAAACGATGATGCTCAGTTGCAGTTCCTTTATTCTATACAAGCTATTGTAGAACAAGGTACAGTTTATGTATCCTACGATTAGTTAGTTAGTTTATTGTTTAACAAACTTTGGCAAAAATTACTGATTCGACTATATAAATAGATTTCTTAAATGTAAATGTTGAAAACTAACACTAAATGATTGCCCCCGTTATAGGAATTAGGAACATTAACTATAGGTAAATCTATCAAACTTAACTCATTGCTTTAACAATCGATAAGACTTTTTTAATAAACGTGTTTATTTAAGTTAATAAATTGTATAGTATTACTTAAATCAATTGTTTAAATTTTATTTAAAAAAAGCTATTATTAAATTTTTTTGTAGTTACGACGTATATACATATAAGACGAAACAGAATTTATTTCAAACCGATTGATACTAATTATTAAAGGATGCAATGTCCAGACTAACTTTATTTTTTCTATTCAGTAAGAAGTAGACAACGAAAAGTTTCGTTAAGAGTTAGAATGTGTAATCTTTTAAACTATAAATAGCCTTTTGTATCGATTCAAAGAAAATCCAAGTTAACGATCAAGCATATTTATATATTTTTTTCTGTGACGCTTGCAGATTATAAATAATAACCGAATAAAATAAATAATTGAATAACAACAATATTGTAAATGGAACTTAGGTGTCTTTTTAAACCAACGGACCTTTGCAATGGTATTATCTCACAGAGGCAGATTGGTCACAGTCTTACACAATAGTGGAGCCCTGCCACCTCCGCTGAGAGAATGTCCGCGGCAGAACACAAAGCTACTCAACATATACAAATAAATATCGACGGAACAACAAATATTTTAATAAGCACCTCCAAAGAATTGTTCAACGCTCGCTTACACGCGTGACGCACTGGGTCGTACGGAGCACACCTGCGAACTCGTGCGACATAATCCATAACCACCACACAATATCAAACCTTATCACAAATGAATAGAGATCATTATAATCTAGCACATTACCAAGAGGACGGCATGACCAATGACAGAATATGAACATCGCGGCAAAATCTTTTAGGTAACAAAGTTTTATTGCACCACATGAATGAGACGATGGAAAATTGGAAAAGGCAAGCGTGAAATGCAGCAGATGTAACTTAAACGGCCATGTGTCCAGACAAGAATCAAAATAAATAAACAACCTAACTTTATAGCGACGTATTGACGGCAGTACGATGTCTATTGTTTTATAGAATTAATATAAAAAATACGTTTCAACCACCATAACAACCAAATGGGCTAAAACTAATGGGTGTCCACACACATACATATATTGTTAGAAAAGAAAACACGGCCGCCAACGGGTCGATTTATTGATATTCAAGACTAATTAGGGCAGAACTTCTTTTCTTGACAATAGTTAAGAACAAAAAGTGTCAGATTGTCAGTAATGACGCTCCTTACCTAGATGGCTTGAGGGGTGCTAGTCTAATAATTAATTGATTATCTATCATTTAACAGTATAATATAAATCACACTATTTCAAAATTCATCAAACAAAATTAAGGAAACAGTAAAATAAAGATGTATCAAATAAAAAAAAAACAATCGAATTGAAAACTAGAACACGGAGAGGTGGTATTATAAAAAAACACGGAAAAATAGTTATGCTAATATGCGTCTATGTGTAAACGAATATAGAATAAATTATCTGTGCTGGCTTGATTTATATTAATCATATTTCCTTATTTCTGTTATAAACTAATAGAGGGCTTTACGTATATTAAACTGCCAGTTAATTAAAAATCTTATTTAGATATGTTCACATTAAATACTTTTTGGTTTGAGATTTTTGATAAAAAGAAAAAACAATGACGTTTATTTCACATGATTACTGCATATGGATTAGGATGTCCAACGGGAATACATAAAAAATATTATGTCATATGAATAAATTAACCATTTTATAACTGTTTTATATTTAAAATAAAATTAAAAAAATAAAATTCTACTTATTTAAAAAACAATAGTTGTACAAAACATTGCTCTCAAAGGATAATATGTAACTTTTTCTAGAACTTCGATTTCTTTAAATCCTCAAATCATCCTTACGACGTGACAATAACACGAATAGGTATATATAACTATATATATAAGGATATTTTAATTAAAACATGTCTAATTTATGATACACCATTAATATCTGATAGTAATAAATTTGATGTCAAACGTAATTTACATATCGGCTACCAAATTACGATGTTAATATTAAGAAAAATAATGTCCACTAATTAACAAGATACATTCACATATCGGATGCGACTGATGAGAACTTCTTGAAGTTTTATAACAAGTCAAAAAGATCCGGATTTAATAAGCATTCATAGAAAATAAACCTATAATTTATTACTAAGGCTCGCCACAGACAAGATAGTTTAATGTTGCACAGATTATACAAGTACAGTCTATAACCTACATTGGCATTGTATATTTGAACTACTGCCCTAAAAAAAAGATTACACACACATAAGCAGCTTAAGATGTTACTAATAGGTTTTTTATTATCCACTTTGGATATTTTACATATCAAAATATTTTTAATGTGAATTTTTTAGTTTTAATTCTATGTGTTTAATGTGAAAAAGCATACAGTATGGGCAAAACTACATATAATTCTTTTGAACAAGGTTCGAAGTTGTCAATAATTATATCCTAATAATATCATAAATGCGAAAGTAACTCTGTCTGTCTGTCTGTCTGTTACGCTTTCACGCCCTAAACCACTAATCTGATTTTAATGAAATTTGGTACAGAGATAGAGTTAACCGTGAGAAAGAACATAGGATAATTTTCATCCCAGACTTTTGAAAAGAAAAAGTTTGGAAACGCGATATAAGCAAACTCCACGCGGGCGAAGCTGCGGGCGGAAAGCTAGCATATATTAAATACTAAAACAATGTTCTTATATCTTGGTAGAATGAATTATTATTAATTTGTTTGAACAACCAGCGGCTGTTCTTGTACTGCACCTGACGTTACTTGACTTACCCGTTTAATAAAGTACATTCAATTATTGATTACATAATGATATATATGTCAGCTACAAATAACATTGAAATAAATTAAACAAAGTTAATTTAATTTAAAAATAAATCAGATAGTAGTTAATAAAAAATAGAAATAATACTACTCAAAGATTCTTATTTACAGAAATATTCACAGAATTATTCTTTTTTCTAAGATTCATGTTTGCATTATTTCGTATTTTAATCAAATTTTGTTTTTGATCAATCAAATATAAACAAGTGTCAAGTGGTAACTGCGCAATCGATTTCCTTCGACGTTTTATGAGTTATAGATGATTGGTATACATAATATTAATATTTAAATAAGGTCAAACAGAAAAACAGGATTATGCAAATAATTAATACCATGATTTATTGACAACAGACATTTAAAAATTTTATAGATAAAAAATTTTCAATATAATCAATATCCGAAACAGATAAAATATTTCTGTATTTGTCTATACGTTTAGTTTTAAATAAATATGTTTTTTTTATTATCTGTGGAGAATAGAAATTAAAAAAAATAGTGAATGTCACTATTTCAGATTCCCAATGAAAAAAATCATTTAGTATTTGTCCATATATATAGGTAAAAAATTTTGTACTTATGACATATTGATTGTCTTACACTTTATATTTTAAAAGTTATTAAACATCTTATTATCAGATCAGAAAAAATCGTTTAGTATTGAAAAACCCAATCAGTTTTATACATAATTCTATTCAATTAAACAAATATATATACCTATATACAACAGAATTTATCAAAGATTAAAACTACTTTAGAACAAAATAAATTACATATAAACCAATTATATAATATGTATTGTGTGATAAATGAGGGAGATAATTTGAGTACAAACCAGTTTACCTCAAACGTATGAAGAGCACAATTAAGCATACATGCTACAGCATCCCGTGCTCACAAAGACTCGTCATTACTGTCGGCGACGACAAAGATCCCACAGAACCATTTGTTACTTAAAAACATAGAATTTATATAATCGTTTTTCTTAGAATATCGTATTACGATCTTGAGTTGAGTAATTATAAATTTTGTTCTTATAAAAATCGTATATACTAATGCTTAATTTAAAAATTAAATATAATGAAAAAAATGAGTATGAAAAAATAACGATATTTAATAAATATATGAGTGTAATGGATTTTATATAAATACGAGATTTTTCAGTCGTATGTATATTTTAAGTTTTTAATAGAATTTTATACAATGGAATTTCATATGATATATAGTTATAAGTATACACTCGTTCTTCAAGTCGCCAGACACTGCGGCACCTCGCCTTAAACTTTTATCCCGATGGAAAGTCATTGGCTCTTCTCAGAACTGAGATCCTTGGACGTAATAAAAAGGAATCAGCCATAAACAAGCAAATAACAATAAAAGTTTTTAATATTCTCATTTAATATCGATCTCCGTGTCGAATTGTCTGTACAAATTGATATTGTAAATAAGTATCAGCCATTTTTATCGTTTCGTATCATATATTTGTTTTCAAAAGTGGAAACGAATGTTCGTTTGATAACACAACAAATATGTACATTTACGTCAAAATGACATCTGACATTGTGATCGCAAAATGTTTAATCGAAACGAAATAACTAAAATAAATGGCAATACTTATTTTTATATGTTAACATCATAATAAACCTTATAATTAGATTGAAAGGCAAAACAAAAGCGGCTTAATAGCATCGCTTATTAATACTTGGAAAATGGTTCGCTTTTATTTCGCAAAGGTTTTCTTTTTGGGCCCAAATCCATCAATTTGGGTGATGGATGGGGCATTGGCAATCGAAATTCAAATTCGCTAAATCTTCCCACAGCGAGATCAGGTCCAGTCGTTAACAGTGTAG